GAGGTTTTAGGGATTACACAAAGGAAAATTGAGATTTTTTGTATGACAAAAAGTATTTTAAATTTTGACATGAAAATCACTTGGAACTCAGACAAGTTAAAAAAAAGAATCAATATTTTCACGGACAAATTTAAGTATAAATACTTCATTAAAAAATCTGATTTTTTGTGTGCAAAAGGCTTCTAATGTTTACTACAAGTCTACAAAATTTTGTAAAGATACACTTAAAATATTAAAAGTTATTAGTATGTAAACTATAACAAGGTTATGGTTACGAGGTTGGTCCCAGGGAAAAAGAGTTAAAACAAGTGACCTGCACAAACAAAAGTTATCGTATCTTAATTATGTGACATGTACAAATAAATGGCCTGTATTTACACAAGTAGCACAGTTATAAGGACAAGAGACCATTTGGTCCTTCAAGGCTGACTTTGCATACCTACTTCCATGGTTACAAAATATTCATTCAGTAAAATAAAAGAAATGATTGAAAGACACCTGGAAATCAATAAAGTTCCCGTGTATTAAAATGTAAGCTTTCACAGTATATAAATTATTTCTGGCATTAACAAATGATAAATAAACATGCAACTATGTACTCACAAGTAGAAATTCCAGCTCCAACCATAACAATAATATTTTTACCTGAAAAACATAAAAAAAACAATGATATAAACACACACACACATACATACATACATACAACTAACAAATTTTATAAAAGTCTACAATTAAAGAATTTCATCTACATCTCGTTAAAATCTATTAATTGAAAAATTAATAAAATTATTCATAAGATAAAAACATGCAAGTCTTGAAAGTGATGCAGCATTATATATTATAAAAGATAAGAGTAAACACAAATGGAGATTTTTGACTCACATTTATCACTTGCCATGTACCTGACTACTCCATCAAAATTGACTTCATCAAGAACTTGAATAGGTTTTTCTTCACTATCTCCCAATCTTAACTTACTGAGTAACAGTTCTTGGAGCACATCCACTATGGAAAAAAATCCCCACTCAGATTTAAATTTTGGTTCTTTTAAAATTATTTCTATTCACTAAATAATAAAAAACTAGATTTTAGCACATTACAGTCATTTTAACAATCATTATGCTCATAGTATCATTTTGCAGTGATTTCAAAGTATATAGCAGATAAAGCCACCTTCATGTTGAACTTTCAAAACTCCTATAAAACTTTTAATTTTCTACACAAACTAAAATTAGTAAATATTGCAGTATTAAATACCAAAAGCTGATGAAGGGAAGATGCAAAGGAAACCACTAATCATATTGATTTTCATTACTTCACTAAAATTCAATAGGCAAAACAACCTATAGCTCCAGAAACCATTTTGTTATTTTATGCTCTCTTGGTTTAAGTCTAAAAGAAACTAACACCAATGGAAAAAAAATAATTCAAGATAAAATTTCAAAATGAGCATCATAATATAACAATATACAAGAATTTCAAACAATAATTAGAATATGACTATGTGTACATTTAAATGCATCACAGAAGGTAATTTATGTGTAAAATACAGTAAGATGCAATTTTATAAAATAATAGTAGTAATAAAAAAATCTATGAACTTACTAACTGATCTGGGTGATTCTGTGCTTCCACATTCCTAAGAAAATCAATAAAGAATTTTTAATTAGAATAAATTAAATATTAACAACTCAAATCAAATCCAACATCATCATGGATTTTACATATATAATTTTTTATAATTTTTCTTTTTGCAAGATTCATAGTATTGCTAGCCTTAAAAAAAAAGTTATTTTTAAAAAGATGCTTTCTTAGAATCTGCATTTTCATCTTTAATGATTTTTTTACATACTGTATCAAAATGATTATTTTCAAAGTAATATTGTTTCAGATAAATGGTGTTGTTGCGATAGCAGAAGTCACTGACTCTGAGAGCATGCGCGCTAGAGTTTCTAGAAGGATCATGACTTATCAAGGAACCTCATGAATGTCCTAGTGTTTGCCAGGTGCCCTCTTTTTTAGTATATAAGCCCAGCAAATAAAGCCAGTGATAGAAGAAATATAGATAGATTGAAGAGATAAATAATTGAGTCAAGCGAACAGTAGGCACCCTAAGTAAAGTGTGTGAATAATTGCGATTTACAGCGTGTGTTATAAAGGTTAAGTTTAAAGTGACTGTGGAAATTCTGTGTATTACAAAGTTGTATCAAGAAAGAATAAATTAGTTTTAATTAAGAAAGGACTTGTATCGCTGAAGTTCCTCGAAAAGAATTTATACCGGAAATTAAGAAATGACCAGATACATAACAGTGTTAACACAAAAACAGTAATGCAACAACTACAGTGTCTTCTCTTAACACTCAAACATCAAATCCATGCACAGTGGGATACTGGATATCTCTAAAGCTATAAGTTAAGCTTTTGCATTATTGAATGTTTAGAAACAGCGAAAGATTTATTCATTTAACAGTCACCTGTTGCAACAGTACTGTGTACACTTTTACAGACTCCCTATTCCAGAAAATTCAGTATTATTTTATGTTTAAATGCATGGTTACAACAATGTTGGAGGCTTAAGTGTTGTATCCATAAATATTAACTTACTCAAATGCTTTATACACAATGGAAAGGAATAATCGTTATTAATTTTGTTCATTGGGTAAATGAGTACTTAACTAAAATAAAAATCTAGAATCTGGATGTTCTCTAAATAGCCTAAATTTAAAGTCAAACAACGTAAATGTTAGAATAATTTCAATTTATTTTATAAAATAAAACTTTTGATAGTTATAACTTTTTCTTAACATAACTTAGTATTATTGTGTTGACAACACAGTTTAACTTCTCCATGTCAGCCCCTCTAATATTCTATTTTTGCAATGATGATATATGCTAACTTTCTAAAAGTTAGCTGTGTAACAATGTAACCAAAATTTTTTACATCAAATGAGAGATTTCTACTACAATAATATATCATTTTAGATTAATCAATGTTGACCACATAGTCCTAAAGTAGCCTAAATAAAAGTCAAACAAAGTTAAAATAACATTAATATATTCCATAATGTAAAAGTTTTAATTATCAGATAGATATTATCTCACAAAGTTTGAAACACAAATGAAATAAGTAATAAGAAAACCCAGAGTGTAATCAGATAACATTAGTTTTATTGTGGAGACAATACTAAATTCTCAACTAGGAAAGGAACATGACCTAAAAAACAAGATAATTTACTCCTTGTTAATGAACTCTTATGGCTTTTGGATACATGCATATGACTTTTTTTTCCCTTCTTTTTTGAAGAGGATTTTTAAAGGAGAGGAATATTTTTCATGTTTCATTACATAAAAAACAGTTGATAATTTAAAACAGCAGGAATTGTTAGATGTGTATTTTAAAAATGCAGCGCTGCTAGTTTTGGGTTTTATTAAAATTTCTCGCTTATATAATGCAGAATTCTGTATAAATGCAACCTCTGAGGATAATTACACTTCCTGGCATCTTCCTCAGAAACTCTATTTTTTTATAGTTGAATGAAAGCTTAATATCAGACAAATATTTAAACTTTTGTAAATTATTTTGATCACAACATATTTCCAGAAATATACATACAACATATTTCTATATAGATATTGTTTTTGAGTTTAAGCAACCAAACTAGGTATGCAAATAATGATAGGTTAGTTCAATGTACACTAATATGACTAATTACACAGAAGTATTAAAATTTCATGGGCTGTAAAAAAACAACCATTTCAGGTGTCAGGCTAAGCCTGTTTTTGAGATAAATCCTACTCATGCTTTATTTATCTTTACAAACCTATTACATTACATTCTAGTAAAACTAGATACGAATTTAAACAAAACAATAAGTCAAAGAATAGGAGAACAGAATATTTTACCTAAATCTAGTAAAGTATTATAACATTTCAACCACACTTTAAATAAATTATTACATATACATACTTATTCTTATGACTGAACATAATAAATGTTACCAACTTACTGACTTACATCATCAGAACATTCATCTGTTTTCGTCAAAACACTTTCTGTAATGGCGAATAAAATAAGATTACACATCCACAAATAAAATGTTAAACTTCTATAGCAGAATTAACAAAGTAATTTAATTTTGTTTAAACTATTATATTTTTAGTTAATGTAGATACTTACTTTTTAAGGTTTTATCCTCTATGCATAACAAAAGTAAAGAATTAAACAGCTATATACACTTTATTATTTATACTTTACACTTTTTTAATACATTTATGTGTGAAAGTATTTTCTGAGGTTTATATGAAAAATAAAAGTGTAAACCCAAGCAAATGATTTATCTACATATTTCAAGCCCATGTTCTGAGTAATGGTTTAACTTATCACTAACCTATACAGAAAATGTATGAAATACTTTTGCAGAACACTCTACTTTTTTGAATATGTAAAATAAACTTATCAGATGTAGTTATTCTATAAAACAGGGTCTTTTAGACTTTTAAAAACAGAAGCATTATTACAATAGCCTGTTTATCTTTATACCAAATCTTGTATAAATTAGTGAAAATACCATTAATTGACCAAAAATTCCAAAATTATGCTTTCTGTGTAAGCCTTGACCCCCCCCTTAAAAAAAAACTATTCAAAATGAACACATCCAACTTTTTTGTATATGACAATATGTTGGGTGCATGAAAATTTATACTTGTGACACGTTTAATCTTGATTGCTATAAATCTAACTATGTAAAAGCCCAAAATATATATTTTTGGGTTCTTTGACCTCATAAAATCATTAAAATGGCCTAAACCACAAAAATGAAAAATGTCTGGCTATATTGGACCAAGGTACAACCATACCAAATTTCAAGTCAATCTGCCAAGAAATGAAGGAGTGGATGTTGACTGAGAAGTGTTTAGAAAAAGAAAGAATGAAGAATCAACTGAAAAAGAGTATGTTGCTCTGCACAGATATAATAATGAAAGTTATAATTTTCCTATACTGAAAATGTATTTCTGACAGGTACTTCCCTCCGCTATTCTCATCCAGTGCTGCCCTCTATATGCAAATTTTTTCTTTAAGCATGCCACAAGCCTTCTGCTCCCCCTATCGGAACCAAATGATTCCAATATGTCTCTCATGTAAATCATCATGCATCAATTCTCCATGAACAGAAGTGTTACATACTCACGTCACACTTTATTGGAAATACATTTTTGATATAGGAAAATTATAACTTCCAACACGGTATTTTCCTCTGCTCACAAGAGTTGCTAGAACCTCACATTGATTATGTGGTAGGATCAGCATGAGAGAACGACATAAGTACCCCCTTGAAAGTGGACACCCCTGGAATTGAGAGCCAGATCTAACGATCTGATGAGAGGAACAGCACCTCTTCTAAACCAGATATACTCTTTGCCCACCCATGAACTGTATAGTACATAAAAGTAGAAAAAAAAGAGATGAGCACACCCAAGTGGGAGAAAACTGTGGCAGGATAGTGATCTTAACCATGTAAATATATATGTAACTCAATCCCACAAAGTATAAAAGTGGGTAAAACAATGGGTGTGCCCCTAGGTGTAGAGTATCTAGAGCACAATAGATCATACTCGGTAAGTCAACTACTGGGAACCGACATCCACATGGGTGGTAGGATGAGGATCATACCATCTTCACCTCAAGTTCAAGAGACTGGGGGGGAAATCTATAACCACTTTGACTCCTAAGCATGACACGTTACCTTTGATCTATCGATCCAGGTTCTGACATCTAGTATCAAAAGGATTTTTGTGCAATACAAATCAACTCCCTCTACAGCAAAACTGACCGGAACCATCCGAAAAGTAATAACATCCTCGGAATAAGATACAATGAGGGATAACAAAAAAAAAAGAGAATCAAAACAATCGTCCTTACCTCCGCTATGACCCACAATACAGAAGGAGTAGGATCAAGGGAAAAATATAGACAACCACAAACATTTGTGAGGACTATGTTGATTGATTCTATTCTAAATCCAAAACCCAGCCACAGGGTATCGACATACACATAGGGGTAAGATGAGGGCTTCCAATCAAAGAAGTGAACTACAATTTGATGTCTCACTCTTTTTTTAGTGTATATTGCATATTGGAGGATAGCACGTCATCTACACCCACAGAACACCACTGCCCTATTTTGCATTAAATGGTTATAGCCATCTTTGTGTGGAACACATTCAGGAGGGTGCCTCCATGGTCAATCACCCAAATGGCTTGGAAGTGGAAAGTGGTAAGAACTCCCATACTCCATCAGAAGGGGATGAGAATGCAGTAGAGAGTCCAGAGGAACATTATCACCTGAGACAGTGACCACAATACCCTATTTTTAAGAGCAGACCATATCGATTTATTCAATACAAGGGATGGGCACTTTTCCCCTTCTGCTTTACCCATGCAGTCCATGGATGGTATGGTATGGTCTGGAATGGATAAGTTTATGAAGCAATTGCATTGCAAGTTTATTCACCCACAAGTGATCTTGTGGAACACCCCATCTTAATATTGAGCATTGCAAAGCCATTGAAGATAAAGCATGAGTCAACATGGCTGTACATTGTAGATTTCAAGTAGAAGAATACCTGGTCAGGCACCACTCGCCACAGAGTGGGATCCATACACTGAGTGAATAAAGCAAGGGGCCTTGAAAAGAAAGGAAAAGAAAAATATGAATATAAACTTACCAGTCAAAGTCACACTGAAGGCTGAAGAATGGCCGCAGGTGGAAGATGAAAACCAGATGAAGAAGAAACCACAATATGGTGTAAATAACAAGAGAAGAACATATTAAGTGTATTTCATATCCCTGACTGTAGGACTTTCTCCAATGGCCAATGAAAATAAGATGAGAGGGAAAATATGAGGAGTCGATTCTGACGAGAAGACACCTAGAACAAATTCTGGGAGGAAGAAGACAAGGAGGAGTAACCCAATCGAATCAAAAGTCAAATCCAATTGATTAGAGTAAAAGGGGACAGATTCCAAACAGAGAGAGACTGCCTAGGGATAAAGAGTCAGGAATGGGTACCATGGAAGGAAGCCATGTGTGCAATATCACAACAAAGGGATGGGCACTTTTCCCCTTCTGCTTTACCCATGCTTTACCGATTCTGATGAGAAGACACCTATAACAAATTCTGGGAGGAAGAAGACAAGGAGGAGTAACCCAATCGAATCAAAAGTCAAATCCAATTGGTGAGAGTAAAAGGGGAAAGATTCCAAACAGAGGGAGACTGCCAAGGGATAAATAGTCAGGAATGGGTACCATGGAAGGAAGCCATGTGTGCAATATCACAACAAAGAGTATGGACCGGACACAAAAGTCTATCCAGATTGGGATGACAGTAAAGATGAGAAATAGAAGGAAGGGAAATAAGAAAAAGGAAGGAGTTACTCTCCCTAGCCACCAAAGTCTTTGGGAGGAAGAAACAATCCAGACAAAGAAGATATGTAGGGTGGTAAAGTGTAAGTGAAATGTCAATAGCAAACAAATCAGACCTTCGAAGTCCACAAGATAAGAGGAGAGCAAATACATGTTAAGGGGAAAATGAAATATGGAACACGAGGAAAGTGGTTCAAACGAATGTAAGGTGATGAGGGAATGGGGGATCACATTAATATTCCAGTCTTGGGGTATCACGAATCCGGAAGGAATGCATTGATATGGAAAGTAAAAACTTTACAGTATATGGAAAATCAAAAGGTATGGGATAAGGCAGTCTGATAACCTGAGAGCGAAGAGACTGAAGACCTCCGGTTGAAAAGCCATGTGAAAAACTCCACCACTTGAACCACAATATGTCAGTCAGCAGCGAATCCTGGATTCATAGACCTCCATTAAAGAAGGACATATGGAAGGAGCTAAAAGAAAAGCTACTCAATGAGAGAAACCTGATCTCTTCACTAAGGATAAAAGCCAGGCGTGAAGACGAAAGACATAAATGGCTGGATGTAAAACCGCTGACCGAGGTTGATGAATAAGGGAAGGAGATAAAAGAAAAGGTACTGAAGTGAAAAGTTGTAGTTGTTGTAATTGTGGAAACCACGGTTGAGCTGACTAATAAAGAGCAATCATAAGGACTTGATACAGAGTGGTATGGATGAGAGAGATCACTGATGAAGTAATCTGATAGTAGGATTAACATAATGGAATTTTTGTTACCAAACCTGGCTGAAAGAACCGAAATATGAGATATGTAGCAAATGCAACTAAGTGGGGAAAAACCCTGTTTTCAAGGCCACAGGTAGGTGAGGGAATCTAAAGACCACTCAGTTGGATATATTTGATTGGGGTGGGAAAGATGATATGCTATGAGATTGAAAGCACCTAAAAAGTGACACGCAATGAATGTGGTGCATGTGGGCCAATATTGTAGATCCAACGTTTAAAAATAGAAATCTCAACCAGGTACCCCCTTGGTGATTGGTATGTGCTACCACCGTAGAATTGTCAGAATGAATCATAACCACACAATGTCTGGTGAGAGGAAGGAAGTGATTCAAAGCCTGACAGACCACAAGAGGCTCGAGGACTTTGATATGCAAATACTTTTTCCTCTACAGACCAATGACCCGAAGCCTCCTGGTGTTTGGCCCATGGACCCCCAGCCCTGAAGGGATGTGTTTGTGAAAAGATGTATATCCGAGAAGGAAGGAAGGAAGTGATTCAAAGCCTGACAAACCACAAGAAGCTCGAGGACTTTGATATTCAAATACCTTTCCTTTACAGACCAACAACCCGAAGCCTCCTGGTGACTGACCCACGCACCCCAGCCCTGAAGGGATGTGTGTTTGTGAAAAGATGTAAATCCAGATGAGAAGGAGGAGGAAGTGGGATGCCCACTGAATACAGATCGTCCATGAGGCAGGAGACCACCATGGAGGAGTATACCGTGGGAAACATCGAGGTTTTGGAGATTGAATAAACAGCTGCTTTAATAATACAATCAATTACTGCCTCCATGCAGTTGTTAATAGATAGTAGTCAGCCGGCTCCAATTTCCAACGTGGCATAGGAGTCAGGTGGCATCGACCACAGCCAATCTCCTGCAAAACGATGGGAAAATTATGTCTGCCTTGTGGTCACTGTCATCCCCCCCAAGAAAAAAGTGAAGGTGAACAGATAGAGAGTTCAATAGCAGTAATAGACTGACTAAATGCCTGAAAATAGGTAAAAAACTATTGAAGAGAGTAAGGTTATGATCTGAAAGTAAATACTCCAAAGAATGACCACTCCAATCAGTATCAGCATCACCCCAGAGGGGATTGTGTCCATTAACCCTTTTGCCTCGGACTTGTGCAACTTGAAGAAATCGAATCCCAAATTTCATTGTTACAACAATACATGTGATAACTCTGAGATTTCTTAATGTATTCTCTCAAAAACTGGTAAGATTTTGTTAAAAATCATAAGTATCTTGTACACAAAGAATGATGTAGGAAAAGACCCACCAAGTGAGAGATAGGACTCCAATCTCCCATCTTCTTGGGAACTACAAAGAGAAGGGAGTAAAACTCCAGTTGTACGGGGCATACCTGTTCAATAGCTTCTTAGCAGAGCAGTTTGTGGACTGCCTCAGTAAATACGACTGAGAAATGTAGGATTCCATGGAGATGGAGACTGGAACTGATGGCAGAGACCTACAGACAGAACTCATGGATCCATCATGAAATTCTCCCACACTGCAGAAAAGTGGTGCAATTTAGCCCCCACTGGGAAGTCGCCTATACTGTTGGCTTCAGTCAGCCCAGAAGCAGTAAAAACAAGGGTAGAGTCAGGAATGCTGGGAGGAAAGTAGAGGTCTGAATGAGGAAGAAGGAGGTCAGGAAACAAGGATGGGCACCTCCTGGTAGGAAGCAGGAGGTTGAGATAACTGTGTGGCAATTGTGTAAGAAGACAAAGACGAATACAACCTAGCCACACTAACCTTGGATTCCAAAGATTCTGGAAGATCTTCAAATACAGTACTGCATAATAAAGGGGCCTGATGCTATCTCGCAGGAATGAATGGGGAAGATCCACACCACAAGTAATGCATCTCTCCCCAGCATGTCCCAACAGCACAGTAGTCAGATATTAAGGGAAAGGGCAGAGGCCGATAAACGAGCCACAGTGAACCAAAGGAGGGACCTGGGTTCATCAGAAAAAAATCTGGGGAGCGGTGAAAATCCTCCAACAATAAATGGAAGGAAGATAGGTGTCTTATAACAGACAATAGGAAAAGGCAAATCCTTGAGAATTGTGCCTGATTAAAATGAAAAGTAGCCTCAGAAATCGAACCTCAAAGAGGAAGGAGAGGATCCAGTTGCTGAGAATCTAAATATGGATCTGAAGAGCAATTGTATGCTAAAACATGGTGTTCCAACAGGCAGGGGGGGGGGGAGTGCCAACACCTGAATGTAGATGGTTCAAGAATTGCTGTGCATGAACTCTTATGTTGGGTGAAGAGGATTCAGAAAATGGAATTTCACCCAATAAGGATGAGGAGGCATCGTAGGAGATAGGCGAAAAGTAATATACAACATACCTGATTAACCAGCTGTAAAAGTGGAGGGTGAGATCTCCTGAAAATGGTGTAGAGTGTGACAGACCAAAACAAGAAGGTGCCGGAAAAAGAGAATCCAAAACAGTCTTCTCCTTGATTTTATTCATGATTAGAAACACTGTCAGGTTGAAAAGGAGAAGAAATAACTGGCCGAACATATGAATCTAACTCCTTGCGAAATAAAGATAAAGTCGAACCTGATACCTGAGTAGTCATACCAGTAGCATTGTTGACTGTAATGGGAACTTCTGTAGTTGATACATTGAATTGCAAATTCATTCTTAGTTCCCTTGTAATTCAAGAAAAATAAACAAATGCAAAAAAAAATTAAACAACTGAATGCAAACAAAGTAAAAAAAACTGTTGAAAAAAACTGAAATGTCAATGAGGCACAATCATAAACAGTAGTTACATGCGAAAACACATGTCTAAATGATGCTGTGCCAATCAAGAAAGTGAGGATTGAGCAGGAGCATCAGAGGGTGGTAGCTGTGCCAATATAGGGAGCACAATACTACTGGTATAGGGTGGTCACATCACATGCTATATACATATTCAATAGTAGTGTAAAATTTGTTGAGTATGTAGACTGGTGCACTGAGCATTAAAAGTTTTAATAATGGTTAGGGGGGTGAAAGAAGATTGAGATAGCTTTGTGTGAGAAATGTTAAGACTATATCAGAATTAAAATATTTAACATTAATAGACCAATAAATGAAAAGATACTCCAGGACTGGGAATTGGACACAGAACATCCGGCAAACAAAGCCAGTGCTCCACCACTGAGCTATACTGTTGTTCCCATCACTGTTCACTCATAAGGCTTGTCCATGTAGAAAAAAAATTATATTTCAAAGAAGACAGCACAGCTCAGTGGTACTTAGGAAATAGAAATTTGTGATGGGGTGTCACAAATTACATCTCAAACTTTTCTAAATTGACAACAGAGAAAAAGTTTGTTGTAAACTTGACCATGTTTGTATTGTGTTGACAAGCTGCTCAAGGTGATGTAATAGTGTTTGAGCTTCTTTCAGAAGGTGGTTAAACCCCATGATTCCTTTTGAACATTGAGTAATGTTCAGAATATACCTAGTTTCTGCCAATTATGTAATTTTTATAATACTACTCAAAACTGGTTCAAAGAGCATGACAGTGACTTCAGTCATTTTCCTTAGTCAGCACAACCACAAAACGTCTTTTTGATTTTCTTCCTGCCAATTTGGATCTTTTCTATTCTAAATCCAGGCTATGTAGGGTCCTAAAACAGTGGTTGGCTGATCAGTAAACTAAATTGTAACCAGAAAAATACCACAACTTTCTCAGGTTGATAAAAAAATAAAGAAAAATTATAACTGAAATTGGTAATAGTTGAAAATTCAGGTAATGGCACTTGCACAAAGAATGCCTTACCACTTAAAAATACAAAAAAAAAATCATTTTCTTGATATATTAACTTTTACTATTTCAGGACAGCCACACAGTTTTCAAAAACTTTTTCTCCTGATTTTTTCAAGCAAAATTGCAGATTTTCCAATCATGCACACATATATATATATATATATTTTAACTTTTCCATATAATTCTACCTAATTGAAACCACTTTATAGATGTAAATAAAAACTTCAAACAAGGCAATATCAACTTGATAGTAGACAATACAATGTTTCATCTGAACATTTGATCTAAATTATCATAAGAATGAGATAACTATCATTTGTGACTAATCAAGATTATGTTCGACTGTATCCAATAATTGTTACATCGAAGCAGCATGGTTGTGTGCACACACACACACAGATTCTGAGATAAACCTGACCCTTCCAGATTTTGGGCTATTTCAAATTTTACCCAATTTCTTATCCTCTTTTTTTTTTTTAATTCCCTGATTTTTACAAATATCTAGATAATTTTTCACATTTCCCTGAATCATTATCCTTTCCTGAATATCCCTGACTTATCCAAGTTCATGGTAATCTTGCAAATGAGGCCCTAGTTAACAAAATCTTTGATTAATACCAAATATGGGATAAAACAAAGTGTTAATCACAGTGAATTTTGATCGTTTGAAAATTATGTTTGGGAAGTTGTAGTTGAAAGTGCCTTATATTTTTTACAGTAGTTAAGGTAAATATTTAAAACAAGTATGAGAAAATAAATATTTTTCCTACCACATTTAAAAGATATCTGATTTTTTCACAAAGACACCATCAGTTTAAACATCTGGTTTGATACTAAATTTAAATTCTTACTTAGCATGTAAAAAAATAATACTAATTAAAATACATTATAAAAAAAATTTATAAAACAGTTATTAGTAAGAAAAATGCAGCTATACATACCGCTGGCCTCAGCCATTTTTAGCTTTTGTTAGTGGAATTGAAGCTTCTAGAAAGAACAAAGAATATATCTATATATTATTAAATAAAATTATTTAATATAAAGGACACATGAATAAACTCTTAAATTCTGATTGTGTTTAAAAGGTTTTGGTAAGTGCTCTTGCACATCTCATTTATCTGGATACCCAGATGGCTACAGTTCCATCTTAGTCATTCCCTCATTAACTACAGTAGCCAAACTAAACAAAAAAAGACACCATTTATCTACATAAAAAACGTATAAGAAAATTTAAACTAATAACTAATTTAAAAGTTTAGCAAGAAGTAAGAATTATGCTCATTTTATTACTCAACTTCTCACTTAGTTAAAACCACTTTTTGTTACCATCAGGGGTTTCAAAAGTAGAAAGTATTTAATTGCAGGCCACCTGATTAAACAAATGAGGTGAATAAAAAATTATGTCAGGAAATCAGGATTGTTACTATCAAGAATACTATCACAATAATTAGGAAGATTTTACTTTTAAACACACTGATGGATATTATATGGGGTCAAGTAATAAGGGAAAACCAACTGAGAGGGATGACATTTTAGACTTATTGTTAACCACCAAAGTTGGACAATTAAAGGAATTTGTAATAGATTAATTATTGGGCTCATTATTATTTACATTCAACCAATCAATTATTTTCACATGAGGCTTTGACAGTTAAAATAATCTAAAATACTAATATCGCAAATACTAATTTTAATTTGTTGATATATTTTTGTGAATCATGACACTAACTGATTAAGCTGAACAGACCTGAATTCATCAAAAAATGGTAATGACAAATTTTAATAGCAATATTTCAATTACTTGGATAATTGTAATAAATGAATATAATAATAATCAGAAACACTGATTTCAATTAGTTAATTATTTTCATGACATTAATTGGTTTAATCATAATTTTGACTGATTATTTTACCTGAAACTAATCAATGCTCATAGGTAATCAATTATATGAATTAGTCAAGTTACTTGTCCAGCTCTTAATCTGGTACCCCAAGTTCATCCAAATTCTATTGTTTTACAATGTAATTAAGTACAAAGGATATATCCATCTTCATAATTCTAAATCCCTAACCTAGACATATTTCTATGATCTAGTTGTATGATTATTTTGCATCAGAGAAGGCTGTTACATATCCTCAAAAGTGATCAATTTTTGGTGACATAGCACTACCTATGAAACACCAAACAATGTCATAATGTAGTTCTTGTAGTTCCACCACAATTTTATATTTTAAATTATTTTACTATAACGTATTCAACCTTCTGCATGTTATAACAATAGGTTAAGAATTCTTAACCTCTTTGACCAAGAAGGATGAGAGCTGATCTTGTTGAAGTTTACATGGTTATCTGAACCTCTAACTACTTGAAGTATGCAACTGTAATTTCGAAATACCGTTGGAAGCAATTGCGGTATCCACAACATGTATCAATTCCTCCAGATGGGTATCCCTTTTTTGACTGTTGCATATCTTTTTTTGGGGTATGTGGACATCTATCAGTTATTAAAATGCATATTCGTGCTATTCCATATGAAACTTGCTGGCAAAGTCACCAGATGTTGTGCCTAGGGAGTGATCAGACTGTTAAACAGGCACTGAGAAACTGTTGTCCTCACACAGATGAATTATGTAAAACTGTCCAAAAAAATGGTGTGCTTTGAAAAGGAAATCTTTATGATGGATAATTATTCAATGTAAATATCACAAAAGGGATGTTGTGAAGATATAGGGACATAAGACAGAGTATGATTGTATGTGGCAACATGAATTAGAAGGATGAGGCTCCCAATTTATTTTAATATAATGTACACTCAATCTCTGTACAGATAATCAAACTAGAACTTCTAGCATCTTCAAATATCTAGGATTTTGTACTGAACAGACAAGAAATTCAGGATGTCCACATATCCCTCCATCCTGAAAACTGACATGAGCAATCCCTAACTTACCAATTTTTCATTATACAAAATTCCACTTCTCATAGGTTAGAGACATAATTTTTCATTTAGACTACTGAATGTATTTTTCATTGCTATTGTTTACAGTTGATTCAGCTTTCAGTTTACATTGTAAGTGACATATGTGCCTTAAAAGGTTTGCAAACTTGTGTGATTATGGATAAAACTTGTTGTGGTTGATAGTGTGTAATCTCATATTAAATTCAATATGATGCAGCAAATACTTGCAGCTTTTCTTGGAAACCAACAGACACTAGGAGATAAAGAGAAGAAAACTAGACACTTCCAATGAAGCTGCCAAAGGGAAAAAAATATATATTCAACAGTTACTGGAAACAGTTATAGTCTAAGACAATACACGCTAGCGAGTTATAGCAGTTCATGTGAGCAGGATGCTTAAATAAAACTAATTCCTATGCCCATTCATTGAGTTCAAAATTATATATTTTATGGTGTTATCATCTCAAACTAAATTATCTATGGCTATACACTACTAGTAGTAATACTATATACAACCTTAAAAGAAATTATTTTATTTATTTATTTTATTTTTAGTATGAAATTTTCATAAACATTTTTAATTATATTTCACTAATTCCTGTTTGTTCATGCATAAAATTAATACTACATTTGCAATCCAGATCAACAGTTCTCAAACTTTAGTAACCTGAGGACCCCTTTTAAAACTTTTTGGTGGACCCCCAAACGTACGTTTATATTTAGAAAAAAGATTCCATGTACATGAAAAGCTGTTTTCCAAAATTAAATGCTTTAGTTCGTATGAATTCAAATTTATTACAAATATTTTTCATTCTATAAATCACATTCTTAAAAACATTTTAATGAAATTTGAGACATGACTCACAGCCCCTCTGGTGTACAACAGTTTGAGAAACACTGGTCTAGACAATTTATTATGTTTGTATATAACTGTTAGCTTAAACTGAACCATGGGCATGGGGGATACATTTTGTTTGCTGCAACCAGCACAGTTCATGAAAACTTATATTTATAATGTGATATAATGTTGGTATAACACATTTTAATTCAGTTAATTAATTATCATGAAAGACTAGTTTCATGGTATTGGTGACAAGTTATTAATAATAATTATATCATTAATTTATTGACCATAGCCAGTTCCAATATGTAGGTTTATATTATTAGCTGTGACTAGCCCCACTATCTGGGTTGAAATTGTTCATTTCTTGGCTATGACTAGCCCCAATCTCTGGATTTAAATTATTAATTTTTTGGTAAAAGCTAGTCCTACAAGATGGATTTATATTATTAATCTACTAGCAGATGTCTGTTGAAACAACTCAACAGTACTTTTCCTAAAAACACACATGAATAAATATAAAATGTGCAGTCAACCCAATCCTTTGGATCATAGTGTAAATGCAATACGATTGTCTAGTGGGCCATTTATAACCATCTTTCGTCATTCCATGTGTTATTTCAATAACAAAAATTACATAATGTTTCGTTTAAAGCAAAGGAGACTAAATGCAATGCATTGTTGGCAGAAATATTTGGTTTTTGATGCAACAAGTGCATCCAGCACATCAGAGTACTCAATTTCACTAAGTAGCTGCTGGAATTATTTCCACTGGATGTTGCCATATCCTGTCATTTCACTGAGCACAAAGAAAGACTACTAAGGAAATGAGTACCTTTTGAAAGTTGTCATTTCTGTAAGAAATGTAAAATGGGGAGATATTCAATTCAAATTAATTTATTTGACATCATACAATAAATTCATGCATGTATATAATACCAACATGAAAATAAAATAAAATAAACCAAACAACAAATGTTTACTCAAGCCCGTTCCTCTCTTTATGCATCTTATCCATTCAGATTCCTAAATTTGAAATACTTCTTTCAATCAAAAGATGGAGGAAGTCCATTTTTCTTGTGAAATTTCATTCACAAAAAGAAACATTGTTTTTCTTAATAAGTTTTTTCTCATACCGACTGTTCTGTACATACACAGACTGATGGATCAATGTTGATATCCATATGAAATTTTTAGGAACTGCAAAAAATGAATTAATTTTCCTGTACTGTCAGGGTTGCCACATCTGTGGAACTTCAGAATTCCTTGACTTTTCCCTGACCAAATTGTGGATAAAAATATAATTATATATAACAGCCTCCCATTTCCCCTTATAGCCATTCATTCCCCCCCCCCCACCCTTTATTTGTTTCTTTTATTGGTTTTATATAAAATACATTTCAAAATTAATTTTAAAATATTTAATGAAATACTCATAAACAAATCATAACGATTCAAGACAAGCACTCAATATTGCAGTGATTTCAACTTTTTTAAAAACTTTTAAAACTTCAATTTATTTTTGGGCATCTTCAAGTTCTTTCTGCCTTTTCTTGCCTGCATCTCTTAATGCATTTGTTTCCATGATGAGATTCCACTCTTTTTTTTTTTTCTTGTCTGCTTGCTGTGAAAGAACATCTGCTTTGTCTCGTAACTTATTTGCCTCTGTTTCAAGTTGTTTCTCTTTCTTGATGTTTTCATTTAACTCTAATGTCATTTGATTCTTTCCGTTTTCAGCAGCAGTTGCTTTCTTCTCGTCATTGAGGTGAACAGAGTACCTGTGCCTTGAGAACCTACATGATTCAAGCATCTCCTTTATAATGGGTATCTCATGGACATCTCTCCCTATCAGCTTCAAGCTATCATATACTATATATACTTTCTCTCAATCTCCAATTGCCCACGTGACCATATAAATATAATATTTATTGTTTGCTACAGAAGGGAGTAGCTTTGCTTTTCAACTAAGAACTCAGAGTAAAATGTGTCTAGCCTCTGCTCTTCAGTGTAGAGGCTTTCAAATTATTTTTTTTTTGGTACATGGTTGCTTCTATTTGGAAATCCATGAACTGATGTTTAACATCATTACATTATTGTGCTTTCAGTCTACAACATCACATTAAATTTCCCAGCAGCTTTTCAAAATTTTTAGCAGCCTTCTATGGGTGAAGCATCATAAATATGAGGTCCAACGAATTTAGATACCTTGCTACTGGGTATTTAAGTGAGCACCTCTCCACTATATTTGCTGTCAGAGCTTTCAGGAACATTTTGCACTCTGTGAAAAACTCTAGTAACTGAAGCAGCAACACCTTTTGTTTTGAAAGTTTGTCAATTATGGCTTTGAGAGCAAAACCAACTTCAAACCACTTAGGAGTCGGGAGATTTTCTTTATTCTCAAGATCAATGAACTTGCTTCTTCCAGTACCTTTTTTTCTAACAAGCTTGCCCACGACAGTCTTCTTTAAGGTCTTCCACCACAAACACAGCCATTGGGGCATCAGTCTGGTATTTGATTAAAAATTGCAGGAGCATTTTTGCTTGTATACCAAAGAACTGGAGCTTGGCTGTTAGAAATGGGTCTCTTGTGCTGCTCTGAATGGTAGTATAACTCTGAATTTTAGGAATCTATAACTTTTGTCCATTCTGGACACCTATGACATACTTCTCTATATTCTCCCAAACAGCTGCAGCTCTCTCCACCACTGGAGCATCTTCTAACCATTCTGCAGCATCTTAGATGCAGTTAGCCACCCCAAAAATATTAATGTCATCTGGAAACTTCAAAACTTTATTAATCGTTCCAGAGTCAATATCATTAATATAAATCACAAACAGCAGAGGACCCAACATAGAGCCCTAAGACACACCACTTGTGACTGTGATCCAGTCAGATCTTACTCCATTTATTACTACTCTCTGCTTTCTACTCTCCGGCCAATTTTCTATCCAATTTAATAACATTTCCCTCACACACACACACAGATTTAATTTTTGTAACAAGTCTTTTGTGAGGCACCTTATCAAACAATTTCTGAAAATCAAGGTAAACCAAATCCACAGTACTTCCTTCATCAACATTTGCAGTAACATCCTTGAAGAATGTCAGAAGATTTATTAAACAAGACTTTCCTCTAGTGAACTCATGCTGGCTCTTTGACATTATATCAAACTGTTTTAAGTGACTCTGCATTGCATTTTTAATCACACTCTCCAAAACCTTTCCAACTACTGATGCAAGACTAACTGGCCTATAATTGCCTGGACAATGTTTATCACCTTTAAATATTGGACTAACATTAGTCAACTTCCAATCTTCTAATACTCTTCCACTACTCAATGACCCAAAAAAAATATTAGTTTGCAGTTCACAAATAAAATCTTTAAGTTCCTTTAAAACTATAGGATAAAATTTGTCAGGTCCAGCTGATTTACCAATTTTTAGGTTTCACAACTTTTCTTTTACAATTTCAGAACTTAAAATGATATCTTTTACATCAATATTTTCCTCATAAATTAAGTGCTCTGGTTGAGGCATAATACTTGTATCTTCCTTCTTAAAAACTGAAGAGAACACATAATTCAATAAGTTTACCATCTCATAATCTTCTGATATCAGATCCCCACTATCATTTTTAAGAGGCCCAATCCCCATCCTAACATTTTGCTTAACCATCATATACCTAAAGAATTCCTTAACTTTCTCAGCCAACCCTCTTTCATATACAGTTTTTGCCCTCTTAACTTCCTTTTTAATCAGCTCTCTTGATCTCCTATAGTTCTCCAAGTCCTTATTATTTCCAGTAAATTTAAATTTCTTGAATGTATTATGTTTATCCCTAATATGATCTCTCAAACCTTTACTAAACCATACTGGTTTATTCAGCTCCATTGCCCTTTTTTTCTGTAGGGAATATGTATGTTCTGTATGCATATCAATTTTTCCCTAAATGCTTCCCGCATATGTTCATGGTCCTCTCTCTACTCTTTAGTTCAATCTACAAAAGCCAGATCATGTCTCATTCTATCAAAATTGGCTTTCCTGAAATTTGGAATCAGGGTACTGTTCTTCTTCAATTCTACATATAGTAAAATCCCACACCTAATAGTGCAATGGTCACTTGTACTTAAATGGTCACCAACCACTACTCTATCTATCTATCATATTCACATCGGTTGCTAATATTAAAGGTGATATAGCTTTATCTCTTGTAGGTTCCATCACTAGTTGGTGTATAAAAGTGTCCTGAACAATTTCTAAAAACCTATCCCCTTCACTGTCAGACTCAAAATTTTCCCAATCAATACCCCTGAAATTAAAATCTCCCATAATAACATCTTTTTAAGCTACCATTCTGATCATTAACTTCTACATTTTGACCTGGTGGTCTATAATAAATTCCAATTACAAGACTTTTCCCCTATATATCCACTAACACAAACTGACTCAACCTCAGTGCTATTTTCTTTAGTATGCTCTACCTCAACAGGATGCAATTCACTCCTCACATATAAAGCTATTCCTCCCCTTTTTTTTCAATACTCTATCTCTAGTAAATAATCTGTAGTCTGGTATTTAAAAAAATCTCTCTCATCAAAATTGTTCAAATCGAATCAAGTCTCAGTGATACCCATAATATCCAAATCCTCAGTTTTCACAACTGTTTTGGACTCATCAATTTTATATTTAATATAACTAGCATTACAATAGTAACAATTAATCATATATTTTAAAATATGTTCATGTTTTATGCATGTTGTAGATGTTTTTCTATCAATTATATTTTCTATTTTACTAATATCATAGCCCTCACCTGTGTCTAGCCCTAGTTTAAATCTACCACTACAGCTGAGTTAATAACCTTTACTAACATGCTAGCCCCTGCCTTGTTTAAGTGTAAGCCATCCATTCCAAAAATATTAACTTTCCCATTAAAACTAACCCACAAATCCAACCAGCCCATTTGCTCATCTCTACATATTGATCTTAGCCTGGCATTCAATCCTAGTGACCTACTTAGTATCTAATCCCCACAATTTATTCTTGATAATATTCCTAACAAAATCAAGCTATGACCCCTTTCTTTCATTGCCCTTATCAATGTTTAATACTTATAAATAAGTTACTAAGATCCATCTTTCCTTGCATCATTAGCCCCAACATGTACCACAAAAAGTGCATTGCTACTAGCACCCTTAACCATCTCTCTGGTTCTATCAGTCATATCCTGCACCCCTGCTTCTGGATAGCATAAGTGTATTCTTTTGCTCCTATTTACACCACATACTATTCTATCTACATGCCTAACTAGATGCCTATGATTTCTTTGTTCTATATTCTGAAGAAACTGGGACAACAGGAGACAAGTTTAAAACTTGTAAAAGACAAGCTAGCTCCAAGTAAGTTTTTTTTTAAATAGAATTACTGACTTATGGAATGGGTTATCTTTGGCAGTAGTGGACTTCAGTACTTTATAAGAGCTTAAGAGGAGAATTTCATGAAATTCACTTCTTGAATGAAAATAAATTTAATTTCATGAAAATAAAAGGTTGATTAAAATTTTCTGAAAGATAGATGTGCAAGGGCAGCCTTGAATGAGTAAATGGTTTGTTGTTGTCCATAAGTTGTGTTATAGAGAGCCACCTTCCCAAACCCTTTTTCTAAAACTCTGTCACTATAAAATAACTTGTAACTTGAAATTTCAAAATAATTCCTATTGCCACCATTCTCCAAATGTAACCAAGTTTCAGCAATTTCCACTATATCATATTCTCTCTTTTCTTGTCCCTGAAATCATCCATACAATGGAACTTCTGAACAATTAACTGTAACACTCAACTATATAATTATAAATTCTCTAACAGCGTGAGACATTAGAACAACATAAATAAAGCTTATTCTTTAATCTATTATATTTATATCTTTATAAATGGCACATTTATCTTTTAAAATATTAACTTGATGTGCTCTAGACATTTTGCTTCCAATATCTTCTTTGACTTAGACATCTTACTCATTTGTTTATTTCAAGTCTCGCCAATTTCTTCACTGCTATATTATATTTAATGTACAATTCACCCTTTCCATAACAACTATCCAACAGCCCCGATGCCCACCAATTATTTTATATTTACTAATACTATTGACAATATTTCAATTAAGCCTTAGATCCTACCTAGCAATATATTCCTGCATCTAGCCTAAGGTGGGCACGACCAAAAGGGCCACACATTTATTTCTATTAATCTCTGATATAATTCTCTGATCCTTTAAACAGCTTTTTCAATTAATATTTTCAACATCATTCACTTCTACACACACTAAAAAAACAAAAAATGTCCCTTGATATTACTAGTAGTGCTATTTTCTCCCTCTCACAAAAATTATAACAGTTTTACAAATTACAAGCCAATGTCTAACTTCCACTTACAGATCTTGAAGTATGAAAGTTCCAATAATTTATATACAAGTAACACTAATGGCCCAATACTTTAAAGTTAAAGTTCAAGATAGTTTAAATCTAAAAATGTATAACAATTACAAAGCACTTGCAAAAAGGCTGTAAATTATCAAAAAAAATTTTTAATCCGACTTGTTATACCGAAGCATTGACAAATGATAATCCAATGTCGTATAGCCTGTTTAATTAAACAATACATTAATAAAAGATATAATTTTTCCTGTACCTAAGTTTCAACTTCATAAGTTACAAATTATACTTATAGCAATACGTATTTAAATGTTACATTCACATGCTAAAAAGAAAGGGCTATAGTACCACGTCAAAGTCAATGTGAAGCGTAAGTGTTGGCAACGCCCTACATCGCTATAAATATGAACCAGATTATAATTTAGCCTCAGATTTCTGGCTCTTGATTTACGTTTATTAACTTTCGTCACCTGTTTATCAATAGCCTCAGCTAAGTGTACGTACCAAAATGTACGTAAAGTGTTTCCACTCACGTGCTATCGAAAAATTGTAGCGATAAGAAAACGTGATGCCATGAAAAAGACGGAAATTTAACTACTGAAATTTAAACAAAACACTCGATTGAGAGTAAGTCAATCCATCACATGGTTTAGCGAAAATATTTATTTGTACCAGTTTAAATATTGTTACGTCTCCGTTCTTCGTTAATTAATTTTCCGTAAATTCGTTCCAACGAAACTTTAGCGACACAAGTCCTTTCTTAAATAAAACTGGTTTATTTTTTCCGAATACAACTTTACGATGCTCTTAATTTCAACAGTCGCTCTATAACAAACGCTATAACTCACGTCTGACGTGGCCAACAGTATTCTGTCTGCATACATTCAATTACTCATTACCTCCCCGTCTCTTCGTGGCCGGTCTCATATATACAAGACTACACTATATCTAGAAGTATCCCGACAATTCACGAAGGAACAGGATATTTCTAGAAGAAGGTGGCATGATACTAATCACGTGACCTCGCTGACGCAACAATATTTTACTTTTTCAAGTGCGTCCTTAAAATCTTATAGTATGAACAAAAGAGTGGTTTTGACTTATTTTTTTTTTTTTTTTTTTTTTTTTTTTTTTTTGTCTATGGACTACATGTTTATTATTATTCGCGATTCACTCAATAAACTGAGAAATTTACAACAATAAAACATTTCAAGACAATAAAACCGTCGCAGGCCTGGGGTATTATTACAATTTAAATGGGAATACATTAAGTACTGTGAATGAAGAAAAAGATTTTGTTGTTGTAATCGAAAAATAAGTTAAGTCATCTAAATAACATATTGTAGCTAGCAATAGGGCTAGTAGGATTTTAAGTAGCATCTTTCGATATATTGAATACAAGACAAGGGATATTATTGTTGCCTTGTATAGATCATTTGTAAGGCCTTATTTAGAGTACTGTGTACAATCTTGGGCTCTCTTCATCAAGAAGAATATTGAATTGTTGGAAAAGATTCAGAGAAGAGCCACTAGGATGATACATACCTGGAATGGTGGAATTGTCCTATGAGGAGAGGTTAAAATCTCTAAACTTATATTCTTTGGAAAAGAGAAGAGTCAGAGGGAATTTGATTGAGGTGTTTAAGATTTTTATATTGATGATATAGATCCACTTTTTTGTGTTTAACAGTGAAAACAATAGGACAAAAGGTCATAAATTCAAATTTTGGCAGCGTAGGAACTGTCTGCAGTTTAGACAGTATTAATTTTCAATTAGAGTGGTTGTCTTTTAGAATGAGCTACTTTCAAGTGGAGGCAGAAAATTTATTTGAGTTCAAGAAATGATTGGATGAATACTTGAGTAGTAAGGGGTGGTTATAGTTAGGAGCTAGAAGGGACATCCTTGATGGGCTAATAAGCTCCTTTTTGTCCCTTTCAATTTTATGAATTTATAAGACCAATCCACGTAACAATAACGAGTTATTTATTTCTTCATTAACGTTTCTCAGGCTACATTCACTTTGATGCAACTGGTAGGCCTAATTTAAATTCATAAACAAACTTTTCAACATAAACTCTGAAACTACTGTTAATAACGTTTAATAGCAATTTCTTCGATGAATAACAAACCTTAGGGACACAACTATTAATTTTGGCAGAGTAGGAACCATCTTCAGCTAAGACAGTTTTATTATTCTGACAAGGTGATTAACCATTTGTGTAAGTTGCCTTTTGATGTGTTGGATGCATTAAATTTAAAATTCAAAAACTCATAGAAAAACTAACTCTTACTAATAACTTTACTCGATCAATCTTCTTTTGGTCAGTAATTGTTTGAAGTTGCACTCACTAAATATTTCATTAACTTCTCAATCATTAAGCTAACTCTTCCTCCATTATTCATACTTATAACTAGTAGGCTAATCTAGATATTAGTCAAAGTTATTAGTTTCTGGATACCATCTTGAATTTTCTAAATATTCTAGGACTAGTTTTACAAACATGTTTGATTTTAACATAATATGCCCTCTAGCTAACATTTAGATTAAAACATTGAAATATAGTTTATAACACTACCCCACTTCCTGGATTGTTAAGTCCATTGAACATCTTAACAAAATAAAATACTACAATAAGCTGTCCATTCACCAAATTGTTTTAGTGTTGTTTTTGTTTCTGTTATGCAGATGGATGGTCTGTTGTCCCTTGATGTCGTTTCCTGTTTTGTGGCTTGGGGGAGTATTCTCTGGGAAATGCGTCGAGCAAATCCATTGGTGGCTCTATCCTTATTGACCTCTGGAAGTGATCTCAATAGGAGCACTGGACTCCTTGACAGGTTGACTTTCTACTGACAAATTATTCTCCAAAGTAAATCAGTTTGTACTTTTCTTACTGACATTACTTTTGGCTTATATTATCTGTTCTTGTGGAGTTTGTAACTCACATCATTGACTCTTCTCCATTTGACATATGGCTTTTCCCAACAACTGATTAACTTGGGAGTTCATCCTTTTCTTCTGGTGGATAGTGTTCAGCCATATCATGTCATTTTGATAGAATCTAGTTTTACCAACATCAAAATCATAGTCACTTTTCATTTCATAACTAGCTGATTTAAGTCTTTCCAGTGTAAAGTCGTATATGTCCTCAATGGTGTGCTTTAGTCCTTCTGTGTTTTCTGTGTAAGACTGCTCTATTGAGTGACCATTCGTCAGATGAAAATACAGAAAGTTCACTGGCACCTCAATTCTCTCCCAAATATCAATGATAATGGTGTGTTGCTGTTAGATTCCTGTGCTACCATTTGGTAACCTATAAATATCATTCTCTTACTCACTTCAATGTATTCTTAACTCTTAAGTGTCCAACTGTTTGGTTAATATTAAGTTCTAGAATAAATTGGCCAGTTAAGAGATAAGTTTCAGAATTTCTAAACCCCAGATTCTTTACTTTCCGAGAAACCTTGCACTTACCCAGAATGACATCAAATACCACGTGACTGGCCACTCTCACTACACATAGGTGGGGCAACAATTTTTGAATATCACGTGTACAACCACTGAAGGATGCTACTGTAGAAATCCTCACACAAGTTGAAATTAAGTAATGTTCTCCATTGGCAGTATCAGGTATTATCAACTTCGATAATACAAAAGAAACAAAGGCAACTTTAAATAACATAAACTTAATGGTTCTCTGACCATGTGTTATATGAAACTGCACATATTCAGAACAAATAATAGATATAGAATAAGTATTATAATACTAGAACAAAATAGAAACACATAGTATATTGATATAGTAAAAGATTTCAACATTCGGATCAAGTAATTGACAGAAACTTATAAAAGCAGATTCAACCATCAATTATGGCTCAAAATAGCCATATTGTAAATCACGTTATATTATTATTATAAAGAACATGAACTTGTTATTATTAATATATGCAAAAACAGTACATTTAAAGTATGATAAGGTTGTTGCTCTGTATGCATCATTTTTCAAATATTTAAGTTTTTGCCTTACAAATAGGTCTATTTTTAATAGCAAGACTATATCTATACCAATTTTTCATACCAGCAAAACATAGACATTTGTTCTCCAATAATAATATTCCATACTAGATTTAAAACGAGTGCAAAACACTATAACCCTACCAAGGATCGTTCATTATTTGGATTTATTAGTTATTCCTTTTGATCACGTTTCTATATAAGATTGATCATGGCTCCGTGGAAGGGCACCTGCCAAATCATAGTCTTATGCACTTTGACTTTCAATGCCCTCGGTAAAATTTTGTCACAGATGACATTTTTTGTCCATTTTCTCCAGTCAATCTGGGTTCTATCTTTTGCAGTTTTCTCACTTCCTCTTTGGATTGTACTTCCCAAGTGCATAAAGTTTTTTAACTGTTCCAGTGACTTCCCGTGTACATTTGTGATTTTTAATTTTCTTCTTCTTACCTCTTCCACTTACTATGACTTCATTTTTCTGACATTAACTCTCAAGCCTCTTCTTTCCAAACTCTTCTGCCACACTTTAACTTGCATTTGTAACACCTACTCACTTTTAACTGTTAGGAAAAACTCATTAGTGGATAATAGTTTACACAAAAATTGCTTACAACATCCCTTATTCAAGATGCTATTGGCAATGAGAGAGAGTAGGGGGCCAATGGGTGACCCTTAGTGCAGCTCAACGTTTACTTCAAACTTTTGCTTCTCCATATACCACCTTCATGACTGTTGTCACTCTTTCATAAGTGGCTCTCACTAGTCAGACCAGCTTTTTGGGTATCCCATTCCTTCGGAGGCATCAGTATACTAATTCTCGTGATACCTTGTCATATGCTTTCTCTAAATCTCCAAATGTATGGAATAAATTCTTGTTTTCTTCAAGGTAATTTTTCTGCAACCTTCACAGAATGAAGAGTATATCTACTGTTCTTCTCCCAATAAAAAACCCAAATTTATTTTGTCAATGTCTACAACTTCCCCTTTTCTCTCTGTCAGAACTTTTTATTTCACTTTCAGCAGATGCTCCACCAATTTTATTTCTCTACAGTTTTCACATTTAAGAGCATCTCCTTTCTGTTTGTAGTTGGATATTAATAGGCTCTATCTCCATTCTGCAGGTATCTACTCTTCTCTCCAGATGTTCTTCAACAGAATCCAAACATATTCAAGTCTATCATCTCGTATTGCCTTGACCATCTCAATGACAATCTTTTATGGGCCTCCCGCCTTATCTATCTTCATTTTTCTGATTCTTTCTTTTACCTGTATTCCATTTGTGTTCAGTGCTGGGCCTACTATTAGTGGTACCTCCTTCAATTCGTCTGCCTCATTTTTGGTATTAAGTAGTTCGCCATTTCCATCTTTGTTCTACTGTCTTTCTCATTCATCAAGAACTTCCCTTCTTTTTCTTTAATTATTTTGAGCACTGTGATGTCTCTCTCTCTTTGCCATTTTCCTTTGCTTGATTATTCTGT